ACGAATTTTTTAAGCTTAATCAATCTATTATTAATACATGTTTACTCTAGCACCACATTGTCAAATCATAGACTAATTAGGCTTAAAAGATTCGTCTCGTAAATTAGTCGTAAACTATGTAATTAGTTTCGTAATTAGTCTATATTTAATACTCCATGTATATATACAAATATTTGATGGGACGACGACTAAAATTTAGAAGGCAACGAAACACCACCTAAGACTATTCCCAGTGCATTGTTATCTGTTTGACAGCCAAAAAAGTGATTGGAGAACGGAGAGTATAGAGGCTTTTACATGTGTGCCATTAAAAAAGTTTGAAATTATACATAGGCCATTAAAAAATTAACCGCACACATATGTCACCGTTCTAAACTTCTTTGCACTCCAAGCCATTCCGTCCGCTTTTCTACTTAACGGTGTCAAATGGACAGGTGAAATAACAATTTTACCCTACTGTGGGGTTCGTTTGTCAGCCACCCAAACTCTCTTTTTGACTCTCTTTCTCTTGCGCCTCAGTTCCACGCGCGGGGTGAGGTGCAGGCGCGCCTCCCGCGCCGCCGCGGCCAAGAAGAAGGAGATGGTGGGGATGGACAGGGTGAGCAAAGGGGAGCTGCAACAGCCGAGGGCGAAGCTCCCCCGCGCACACCGACACAAGCCTCGACGGCGACGGCGAGGGCCCCAGTGTGTAGGGAGGCGGCCTCGTCCCCAACGGCGGCGGCGAGAGCCAGGAGGCGGCGCGCGTGGAGCTGCCGCAGCCGGTCCTCGCCGTGGATCTGCCGCAGCACGCGTGGAGGTGACGCGAGGAGGTGAGCTCTCCCGCCGCTGGGTGTGTGACGGTGAAGCTCCGCCTGCGGGCCATGGGGCATGGTGAGCTCGCCCCGGCCGTGGCTAGCGTGGCGTGGCTGGGAGCTCACTGGGGCAGTGAGAGAAGAGAGATGAGGTCGAGTTTGAGAGAGAGAGGATATGGATGAGAGGGTATTATGGACGTTTTGACTGACCTGACCCACTTGTTAGGACTCCCAAACGGTGAAAAACGAACGGAATGCGGATGGAATGGCTTGAAGAGTAAAGAAGTTCAGAACGGTGGCATATGTGTGCGGTCAACTTTTTTAATGGCCTATGTGTAATTACAAACTTTTTTAATAGCACACATGTAAAAGCCTTGAGAGTATAAGATGGAACTAGAAGATCTCATGTAAAGATTAGAAGCAACTGATTTTAGAATTTTTTCAAACCGGTTTTAAAACTTTGTCAAAATGCGTAATGGACTTTACATCCGATTAAAGTCAAATAAATAAAAGGCAACTTCTAGATAATCATCTAGCAGAAATCAACTTAGCCGGTTTCCAAAGCCAACTTCCAATGAATTTTACTATTACCTTCCTCTGGTCAAGATGATCGAGGGTCATGAGGTCAAAGGACAATCCCACAATGGCCGATTGAGTACCTTAACATTTTATCTATAACCTCTATCTTTTACAATCTCTTGTTATTTAGTACATCTCTCGGTAAGATTTTGCCCATGTTCTAAATGTCCTTGCCAATCTTAGGACTCTACCCGTGTGCACCTTTCTGACGGGTCTTTCCGAAGACGTTCGTAGGTTTTTTCAGACAAAGAACAAGTGTTGAACTAGCCTTGTTGTTGGAACCTCCCTTCGCTTTGTATCTAGGTCATGTACGACCTTGTCTATAAGACATCTGAGTTTTTTACATATATTGCTTTTACTATCTAGACACAGTGGTACGCTGTATCTTGTGGGTGCATCCACACCCATAAAATTTTGAAAAAGCACTGCTAGAATCAAATTTTCACCATGGTTGCTGTTTATATTTTCACACCTATAAGAGAATCGTACCACCCTTTAATTCATTCTAGCTTCGCCACTGACACAGTGTATATCTAAGCAGAGGGTGAGATAAAATCAAGGAGGAGAGGGGTGGCAATTAGTGTTATACTATGGAGGATGAGGTAAAATCAGGAGGGGAAAATTCAGTGTTATACTAACACAGGTGTAAAGTGATCACTAATTAAAGGTTTACACAAAACATCTATTAGGCCCTGTTTGGATTCCATGAACTAACAACTAGTCCCTCCAACCCAAACAGGTGGACTATCAAAGTTTAGTCCAAGCCCCAACTAGTTGTTAGTTCACTTGTCCCTCCAACCCAACTATCATGACTAGTGATTCCACCAAATTAGAAAAAAGACATCCATTACCCCCACCCCACATGAAATCCTATGGTATCTCAGGGGCCGGCTATGGCATCTCAGGGGCAAAACAGTCTTTAGAATGAGATAGTACTACTTACTGGTCCAGGGATCAAACATGACTAAACTAATCACTAGTCAACTAATCACTAGTCGTAGTTCATCAAACAAACCCTTAATACAAACAACTAGAGGTAAGAGAGTAAGAATAGAACTAGAGGTTAATTTAAAGAGGCAAACCAGAGTATGTCGCTTGGTAGCATGCATGCAAACATAGACGGGATAGTAGAACTTCACGGAGAAAAGGGACGGGGGTTGGTGGTGTTCAGGAGCTCAATTTGGCCTCCACGAGGCTCAGTCAAAACCTCTTGTAATTTGAAATAGAGGAAGTATCATGGAAGACGCTGGAGTTGCGCTGATTGATCTTGCACTTTTATTATCTGCTAAACTTTTTGCCCTTTTGAAAAATCTCAATAAAATTCACTCTTTTTTTTGTAAAAGGAAAAAAAAGATGTGTAGCAGACTATTACATGTATGCATTGTGCCTGCTCTTGTTTCTAGTAGTCGAGTAGTGCCGTGGTAAAACTTCAACCAACCGGCTCCTGTCGTGTCCTCTCTGTCCCGTAGTTGTGGCCTGTGGGTTTTGGAGCAGGAGCTGCGCAAGCCGGCGATGGAGATGAGCGCGATGCAGGCATGCAGCACACTCAATTCACATGCATTCTCGGACTGAATTGAATACCTTCACGCCACAGGCGTTTTTCAGAACTCTTCATCCTCTGCATCTGCATGTATTGTCTGTCTGGTGAAGCTGTCTGCATCTGCTCATGTTCCTCTGCCTCCAGAGATCACAGCCTCTGCGTGTGCCCTTCCATTCTCCTTGCCCGTGCTCTTGTTTGCTCTGGTCCCTGCTGCTCACACACTGAACGTGCAGTCTGCTCCGCATGCGCGCGTGCGCACAGCACTGAATTTATTCACTCAATTCAATGCCTTCATGCCTCAAGCGTTTCTATTCAGAACCTACATTGCCAGTTTGCCACAGCCCGCCCCCCCTAACCTAATAAATTTTGTTTTATGAAAAGGAATTTTCTTTTTTCTTCACACCCAGTTTGGTACTAGTACAAAACAAAACCTTGTGGATCCTTGTGCGTCCAGCTCACGTTTGCCCCCTCATATGCTGGTGTTTGTGTTCTGTGTATGCATGTCTTTCCTTCTCAATACAAATACGTAGAAACCGTAATCCCTGTTGGTCCATCACTACCGAACAATTTATTAAAACCAACAGAGATGGGATAATCACTATTAGTTCATAAGAAAAAGCTTATTATTATCGGATTTTAAAACCAACCGGAGGTGATAGATAACTATCACTGCCAGCTGGAATTGAATGCAGGCTGTGGGGTTGTGATTCTCTCCATCGTGCTTAGGAGAAAACGTTCTGATAGACGATATGTTCTAGTGTATCTGTGTGCAGGGGAAGACATGTTTGGAACTTATTAAAAATTTATGAATGTAGAAATCCCAATGAACAATCTGATTGACACCCTCTCCTCACGTTCATCTGTCTAACAAAGTGGTAAATTGTTTCTCACCTCCTATTACCAGTGGCTACGGCTTACCCCATGCCTTAGAACTGTGCGTGCTGTAGATTCAGAGCTTATTCCCCAGATGTAGCGGTAGGCTTGCCAAGTCGGATCAACGTCTAGGCAAGCCAGAGCATCAGACAAGGAAGTTGCTTCTCAAAAAATGGGGTCTCGCTGGGAAGAGCTTATTCCTAGATGTAGCCTTGGCAAGGAAGGTGCTTCTCAAGAAGTAGGGTCTCGGTGGGGAGTCTCTTAAGAGCTGGATGATTCCTCGTACGCCGAATCTAAGGAGGCCTTTTGCATCACCGTTATCGTCTTCGAAAAGGGCGGTCTAAAGGGAACTCTTTCATGGATGAAGCCACCAAGGGCACTGAGGACGTCTCGGGTCTAGACTCCAGCACATGACATATCGTTGGTTGCTCTTCGTTGGTCTCCTAACGAGTAAGGACAGGAGCAGAGCTAGAATAAATTCAAGGAGGATGCTAGCACGTACCCTTGTTGACCTTGTTACTTATTCTATTAGAATGGTGAATGAAATCAACTCATGCACTCTGTTCGTTTGCTGGTTTTAGCCAAGATTTATCAGTCATGGTACAATATTTTTCTCTCACAACAAACCAGCATCGGTCGAACTTATCAGCCCAGAAACCAACCAACGAACGTGCTGATGGGTATAGTAATTCCCCCGAAAGGAAACACATGCGCTTACTACGCCAACTCATAATTCGCATTCACGCGTGCCGGACGGGTTCCCCGTGAGGCCGTGACGCAACGTCCACGTGTGCATACGGGTACCACGGCACGGCTCCGTCCACGTCAGCTTCCTGTCCGTTCGAAATTCAAAAGGCTCCTCCTCTTGACGCGTGGCATATAAACTCGAGGCGGTTGCTGCGTCGGCTCTCGGCTGGGTTGCCTCTGCCTCCCTCCTTTTCCTTCCACGCGCGCGCTTCCGTTGGCCACCTCGCGGCGTCGGCGCAGGGCGCAGGCCAAGCAGGCGAGGCCGCTAGGGTTTTGCGGCGCCCGTCCGGCTTCAAGTTCGCCGAGGTGAGCACTCCATCCTCTGATCTGATCCCCTCCAGGACGAGCCTGCAGGAAATAACCACGATCGAGGCAGGCAGGCATGCTAATCGCCGCTTCATGACCGTACTGGTACAGTCGCGGCCTCGCGCGCACGCCAGGTGTTCGACGGAAGTCGGGCCCCGCCACCCATGCCGAGCGGCGGGAGGCGGCTGCCGCCGTGGACGTCGCCGCGGAGCGCGGGGGCGGGGGCGCCGAGGTGGAGCCCTGCTGGTACGCCCGCGGCCGCGGGTGGACCGGGCCCGGGCCCGGACCACGGGACGCCGCCCGTGAGCGCGGGCTGCTTCGGCACGCGCGTCACGCCGCCGACGAGCGGGGGCACGCGCGTGACGCCACCGACGAGCGGGGGCGCGCGCGTCACGCCGCCGTCGACCGGGGGATGCTCGTCGCGGCCACCTAGGCCGCCGCCTTCCCTGGATTCGCCCTACGTGCGGGCCAAGCAGGCGCAGGTAATTGATCATCGGCGGTACCATTTCGGTCATGTTTAGGCTCAGAATTCGAGCACTACAGAACTACATGTAGCTGGTCAAGCAAGCCTGCCCTTCAGCTCACGCATGGGACTGGTGACTGTTGCCATTAAAATGGTTTAGGCATTTCTCATACACAATGTTCGATCGATACCTGCCACATTCAGGCCTTTAACACTTCAGTTATGTCAAGCCTTCTACATTGTCTGTAGCAAAGATTTTCATTTTTTGCATGCATGTGTGCCTAATTTCTGAAGAATGAATTAGATTTGCTCCAAGTTTCTAACATGCATGTACTCCCAGAGGAAATGAGGCTTCCTTGACCTAAGTGCCAAAGTTTTTTTTCTGAAGAAACCTCTTTGAAGAGGGCACGGAAGTCCTGCAATTCACTTAAGAAGAAAAGCATTGGCCCGGTTTATAAGTGAAACTTGACCCAAAAACCTTACAACCGCACGGTTATTAGGAGGATTATTACATGCCAAAGTCTACTAGGTTTACTCAATTGTTGAGACTGGCAAAGCAATGGTCCTCTGCAGACTGTGAAAGTCCTTAACATCTGTTATCTAGTTAAAGTATCAATATATATGTGATGTTGACCTAATTAGTTACTCAAAAATTTCTAATCCTCAGTTAACACATACCCTGCAAGCTGCATTATGATGGCATTTGGTATTTGGTCCTCTGTGTACGCACTATACTGCCGGCTTGTTCTCATATGTGTTTGCAGACTCGAGGGTAACACGTTTGGGGAGAAGGATGTATTATCCTTTAAGGAAAGCCCCATTATTGCTTTAGGATACCATATTACCATGTAGCTGTAACAAAATACCAGGAAATTGCTCTGCACAAACAAAATTGTAGAATGAGTAAGCATTACCAGGAAGCGAGGAATTGAAGCCAAAATACTGTACCTTCTGATTATGCATCTTATTACCAGAAACCTGTTGTACCAAACCAAGAGATTGGATTGACACTATTAAGTCAAGATTTTTATGTGTCATGGCATCAGCTGTTTTTTTTTAATTGTGGATGCTCATTTAAAAAATTGCATTTGCCATCCTTAACATAGGAAGTGCCATAAGCTGAATATGAAGATTTTTATGTTTCCTTATGTTGTTTCTGTTATTCCAGATAGTTGAAAAGGACCCAAACAAGGCTGTTCCATTGTTTTGGGCAGCTATAAACAGTGGTGACCGGACAGAGAGCGCATTGAAGGATATGGCTAATGTACTGAAACAAGCAAATCGGGCTGAAGAAGCCATTGAGGCAATAAGATCCTTTCGTGATCGGTGTCCCTATGAAGCTCAGGAGTCCCTTGACAATATTCTTCTAGACCTATACAAGGTATATTGTTTATCCTTTAAAAGAAAGGGGTTCATTTTTATAAGCTAAGAGTTTGTCTTTGGTTATGCAGATACATATTGAACACATTTTATTAGTTATCACGTTGTCCACTGCGAATGAGTCATCTTAAAATAATTAGTTATCACATGATCTTTGGATGAAAATGCCACTAATACATTTCTTCTGAAACTAATAATTTTCATGTTAAACCAGAAATGTGGTAGGACAGATGAGCAGATCGAAATGCTGACAATAAAGCTGCGAATTGTTGATGAGGAGCTAGCTTCTGGTCGGTGGAAAACAAAACTGTCTAAATCTCATGGAAGAGTAGTCTACCTTTCTCTCAGAGATGAAAAAGCAAGGTACTGGAAATCTTTATATTCCCATTTGAGATTTGACTTTTAAACACTATTCAAACTAAGTTCCTTGTTTCTTGCCAAGGTTATTGGGGAACCTTGCTTGGGCCTATATGCAGTCCGAAAATTATGAGGAAGCAGAGATGCTCTACAGGTACATTTTGAGTTCATCCTTCTCTCATTTCTAAATGTCACGAGTTTTCTCAAATGGCATGTTGCAGATGGACCTATAAACCCTCCGTAATATTAAGTGTGTGAATGGCATACTTGCATGTGGTGTGCTGCGTGCACCTACCCTTTATCTCAAAAGGGAAACAAACTAACTCTGGCTACTATTGACTTGGCACAGGCAAGCTCTTGCTATAGAAGCTGACTACAACAAAGAGTGTAACTTGGCCATCTGTTTGATGAAGACTGGAAAGTTGGCTGAAGCTAAATACCTGATTCAAGCTATACCTTACAACTGTGATGATGAAAGTCATGTTAAGTCTCTCTCCCGGGCTACTGAAATGCTTAGGGAACTTGACTTGCAATCACTCCCCTCTCCCATAACTCAGGCGAAGTCCAAAGAATCACAGATTTTTGTTGCTGATAATGTGGAGATGCTTGTAGATCTACAGCCACAAACACTATCAACTCCTTTGAGTGAACTGAAATATAAAGAACCACATATTTCAGTTTCACAAAATGCAGACAAGCATGAGAATTGCAATTCAGGGCTTCCATCTCCCATAACTCAGTTGAGACGTGAAGAACCACACACTATGGTTACTGCTGGTGCAGAAAAGAATGAGGGATTTGCAGAGTTTCAAGATCTTTCTCGACTGTTCAATGATGCTGCTACACCTCATTCAATACTTGAGAAACTACGAAAGAGGCTAGTTAAAGAGGCACAAAAAACCAGTATTCATGATCAGATTCAGACTCCTACTCCAACTGAATGCTTGCCAAACTCTGAAAGAAACCTAGATGCTAGTGAGACTCCCATGCAAGAAGGGAAGCTCTTGACCAAAGGTGTTAGAGAAACATTGGCTGACATGGTGGATGAAGAGGAACAACAATTGGGTGATGACAAACCATGGGCTGACATGGTGGTGAAGGATGAACAGCAATTGGGTGATGGCAAGTCAACACTTGGTGTGGGAACTACTGAACAAAACGGGAGCAGTAAGCATGCAAGTAAGCTGGAGTACAGAACACCATTGTCTTGTCAAGAAAGCAGGGCCCATCAAAGACCAGTCATGGGTGGTCAACTGCATGGTTCTTCAGCAGGTTCATGGAAACAGAATGACTCCAAAATCTCCATGGATAAGAACGTGAACCGGGATCTTGTGAGGACTGCTCTGACATGGAGCAAGCATAAGGTACAGGACCACAACCATCGAGTTTGGCAAAGGCTTGACATAGTTCATCCCCATGAGAGAGCCTCAGGCACGAAGCAAGTACCACGGAGAAGCAACACATCTCAGCGTGCTCTTTTTGCTGACTGGAAATCAAAGGGTGAAGGATATGGCCATGGTTGTGTTCCGTTTGATGATAACGAACACACTCAGTGTTCAAGTCACCTTGAGGCCACTCATCACTGGCATAATAATGAGGCAAGTACAGGGTCATGGAGGGCACAGAACCGTCTGCGGGTCTTCCAGGAAATCACAAATGAGATCAACCAAAATGTTGTGTAACTATGTCCTTGTTCCTTGCTGTCGATGGAAGTTCTCCTTTCCAGCAACATGTTGTTTGCACTCAACTACAGATGGGATCTGTGAAATAGTTCCTTGTACACAGTTTTTCGCTTCAATTGGTTCTGTTTTTGAGATTCAGCATAGCTACAGAAAACTCTGCGAATATCTTCACAGCCCACCATTCATACTCCTGGCACGTCGATGGATCTTGATATCTGTATATATTTTCTTTATCACTAGAGTGCCAAAGTATGTAAAAAGTGGTGGACTGTCTTATCAATTTCTTAGAATGTGTCACTGTTTTGTGACTGAGAATCTTTTCCTTTCTTGATTTCACATCACCTTCGCAATGTGGCTTACCATGAAATTACTTGGACTCTTGTCACTACTGTTTAGATGCTAGTACATGGCTTCATCTGTGGCTGGACATCTCCTGCATAATGGGGCGCTGCAAGATCTGAGTGTGCTCCCTCCTCTTGTCCACTGCAGGAACAAGCAATGGAGAGCACTGCAGTTTGCAAATGGACACAGGTGCAGCTACCGAGCAGCTGTCGATGTTTCACCACCGATAGCCTGCCTCGGGGGTACCCAGGGCAGTTTGTTCGGGCTTCAGCGTATGCAGAACTCGACGGTAAATGCAAGAGACAGTCGATTTATCCTGGTTCGGGCCCTCGACCGTGATCGAGTAATAGCCTTACGTCCAGTCGGCGTTTGTAACAGAACCGACCAATTATACGAAATTAAGTAAGAAAATCATCCGCCAGAGCAGACGATTTAGCAAACTTAAGCCCGTATAACCCGGTAGTCCGTGAAATCACGAAGGATTTCAAACCAACTTCCATTCCAGCCAAGATCGTAATAAGTTTAGCGGTCACCATCACATATTACATAAAAGTTTGCATCTCAGATACATCAGAGTTTAAATATAGTTATTACAAAACGAGTTCAAATAAAAGTAGCGGAAGCCATTTGTTCAAACCACACACGCTCACACGGAGTTCAAATACAGTGCCAGCTAATGATCATCTCCAACAAAAGCATCAGACGAGACGTAAGGAATGACTATGCCCATGGTCCTAAGCATCACCCATCGCAGGATAAAGACAGTTGATACAGTAGCTGTAATACATCTGCCCATCTGCAACAAGTGGGAATAAAACCCTAAGTACGAGAAGGTACTCAGCTAGACTTACCCGACATAACCGAAAATAAAGTGACACCAAGGATTATGAATGGCTTTATAGTAGGGTAGCTGACTCATTTACAAAGAAAACATTTTTAGCATTTCAAAAACCTTTCTAAAGACATTATTGCCAAGTTAATTAATTATAACCTGTCGACTAGATTTGCACCTATACTAGAGCAAACATGTGATTAAGCCAATAATGATAACCAATGATCATTAACCACTTCCATATTGTCATATGCCTTATAACTGTCCAAGTGTTCCATTAACATTACTACGATGAAGTAACTCAAGTCAAGTGCTCACTATCCAGGAGCGATGGCGATTCGAATCGATTTCTAACCAGTTGGGGATTTATTCCTTACACAAACCTCACTCACCCGCTAAAGTGAGATATTGATCACCGAGTCAACTATCCAAGAATCTCGAGTTTGCCAGGAACCACATGTACCCAGGGGCCGACCGACTGCACTTTGGTCTTATCATCTTGCCCCCGTGTCCTACCACACCTGCTCCGGCACAGTGCGCTGCGGGCAATCAACTCGGCCCGAATAATCTCCCAGCTTCGCGGTCGGAAGGTACTTTATCCGGCCAGCTAAATGTAAGGCATGCGTTCAACATGACTCGAGGCCCAACAACGGTCGGTCCTTAATCGAAACAGACGGAAAGCACTACAGTCCAAAACTCTGTAAGTCTCCGCTCGGTCTCAACTTCATTTAACACTTAGTTATACCATGACTTCATAGCCATCCAAGCAGATCTAGGTAACCACCTATAGCTCGCAGGTGACAGAAAATCACCCGACTTCTACCGGTCTAAGCCAGCTAAGCATTGACTCGACTGCGGATATCAGGGTAACAAGGATATAGTATAACAAAGGTAGACAAGGTATAAAGCAGCAACGGTTGCAAACAACTCCTGAACGTAATGCATCAATTAAAGTAAAGCATTTAATTAATAATTGCAAACCGGGGAGAAAATGCTTCGGGGCTTGCCTCTCTTGAAGGAGCTCGGGCGGTGATCGGGGCACTCCGGAATTTCCTCAACGTCCTCCTCGTCGGCTTCGGGCACTTCCTACGGCTGCACGGGCTCGTTCCGGCGCAAGGGTGGCCGGAGCGGCGTCGTTGACTCGTAACCGAGCTCCGCCATTGCGAGGCGGCCACGGTGCGCGCGAAAAGTGGAAGAGAGGGAGGTGGAGCAGGGCTAGCCACGGCGGCATGCGCTGCGGCCGAGCTCCGACGAGCAACAACGCGGAGGAAAAACACGCGATTGGGACTCACCTCCGGTTGAATCGTGTGGCGAGCTGGTCGGCAGCGTGGTGCGCGAGGTGGCGGTGTTGCGGGCGAGGTGGAGGGTTCAACGACGAGCCATGGTGGCCGGGCGAGCTGGTCGGCAGGCGCGGCGCGTGGTGGCGATCGCGGGCACGCGCGCTGCTGTCGCGGCTGCTGAGTGAGTGAGTGAGGGAGTGGAGAGCGCAGCGCTGCTCGGCAGGTGTAGGCGCGCACGTGGAGCGGAGTTAGGCCGGCTGCGACGCGCGGCGGGCGTCGCCGGCGCATGGCCGCCACGCGGCGGGCGTGCTCTGCCGCGGTCGGAACAGCAAGCGGGAACGGGCGCGACTCAGCGCTGGGCAGGCCAGACGCGCGCGGGGCTGGGCTGGGCCGAGGCGAGGTGGGCTGGCGTGGGCGCGGGGGTTCGCTGGGCCGGCTTCGGCCGTGGGCCGAGAAACGAGGCGGCGGCCCGTGAAAGGAGAAAAGCCTTTTTCAAATTATATTTTCAAGAAATTTTCAAATACTAGCTTTCAAATATCATTTTGAGCAAGAAAATGACATCTTTTGAAAATGTACCAAAAATGAAAGTTGTTTAGAATTTAATCCTCTACATCTTTTCTTTTATGACCAAAGTCCAATCCTATCTAGATTTTGAATTATAAAATTAAAGTCAATTTTAACTCAAAACCCTAATTTTGGAGAATTATTTTTAAAGCAGAATTTGGCAATAATTGCAATACAAACTTTGCTCCAAAAATTACGCTAAATAATTCTAGATGATTTACAATCATAACCAAACAAGTTTTACTAACCTAGCAAGCATGATTAGGGCAAAAACAACCCTAAACAAGTGTATGCAACATTTACGTTTCACAAGCATGTTTTGTATGTTTCGAAGCAGGGTTTCAATTATTATTTACATGATTAGGTATGTATGATTAGGATGCTTGATGATGCATAATATGCATGATTTGCAGTGCCTAAATGCTGGCATAACACCGGGGTGTTATAGCCCTCCCCCCTTATAAAAATCTCGTCCCGAGATTTGGGTTACGAACCATTTGTTATAAAAATCTTCATAAGCTTTTTGTAGATATTCTCCCGTTTCTCAAGTTGCATCTCCCTCATCATGATGATCCCACTGTATCTTGTATGTTTTCACCACACTATTCCGAGTAGCACGTTCTTTAGTGTCTAACACACGGACTGGTTGCTCACGATACACCAAATTTGATTTGAGTTGGATGCCTCAAGGTTCTATTCTTTCCTCCGGAACACGCAAACATTTCTTGAGATGTGATACATGGAAAACTGGGAAGACTGTACTCATGGTCTCAGGTAACTCTAACTTATAAGCTACTGGACCTCTCTTTTCCAAGACCTTGTATGGTCCTACGAATCTAGCGGCAAGTTTTATCCGAACTCCAAACCGTTTCTTCTTCATTGGCGTGACCTTCAGATAAACATAGTCACCAACTTCAAACACAAGAGGTCTCCTTCTTCTGTCTGCATAACTTTTCTAACGCGATTGAGCCGCCTTCATATTTTGCTGAATAATATGAACTTTCTTCTTGGCTTCTTCTACAAAGTCAATGCCATAATACCTGCTATCTCCAGGCTCGACCCAATTCAATGGTGTTCTACATTTTCTGCCATACAAAGCTTCGAATGGAGCTATCTTGATGCTTTCTTGATAACTATTATTGTAAGAAAACTCAGCTAGTGGTAACCATGACTCCCATGATCCCTTAGAAGACAATACACAGGCTCTTAACATATCCTCCAAAATAGCATTCACTCGTTCAGTCTGACCATCTGTTTGAGGATGATAAGCGGTACTACGAATCAAACTAGTTCCTAAGCCTTTGTGTAAATGTTCCCAAAAGTGAGCCGTGAACTGTGAGCCTCTATCAGATACTATGGTCTTTGGTATACCATGCAACCTCACAATTTCTGCGATATACTTCTCGGCATATTGAGGTGGTTGATATTCTGTTTTGACAGGCAAGAAATGAGCGGTCTTGGTAAGACGGTCCACAATTACCCAAATCGAATCATGTCCCTTTTGAGTAGTGGGCGAACCCGAGATAAAATCCATACTTATATCGTCCCACTTCCAACTAGGGACAGACAAGGGTTGCAACATACCGACATGTTTCATATGAATAGCTTTCACTCTACAACATGTGTCACATCTGGCAACATATGCTGTAATTTCTTTCTTCATTTTGGTCCACCAATAACGAGGTCTTAGTTCTTGATACATCTTACTACTTCCTGGATGGATAGATAGCTTAGAAAGGTGAGCTTCATCCATGAGTTTATTGCTAAGCTCTCGATCCTTGGGAACCACAAGACGGTCGTCAAACCACAACACGCCCTGTTCATCCACTTTAAAGTGCTGAGACAGCTTTTCTTTTATTTTCTCTTTGATGTGGAATATTCCTTTGTCGGTTTTCTAGCCCTCTATTATCTTACTCTCCAAAGAGCAACTAATCTGAATACTATGTAACACAGCAGGATGCATCAGATCGAACCCATCTTCA